TATGTATCTTTCATTCCTCATGTAGAACTCATTTAGAATGAAAATCCTTGAATTCTTGATTTAACCTCATTATTCTGCACAAACTTTAACTGACTCAGATATGTTTGGAGCATTTTTAGGTCCTGATTTATATACAAAAATCCTGTCTAAGCATCAATTTTTGTTTTCTAAATAAAAACATTAAAAACTAATTAATAACTCAAGTAATTTATTTTATCAATATGCAACAGAAATGTATGTTAAATTTAAGATTAATCCTGACTAATTCACAGCTACTTTGGGATTAATCAGATTAAAAATATTAATCATTTGACAGCCAAAACATAAAACATTAAAACAGTAAAACATAAAAAAAACATTTTGATGCACTGAAATAATGATTTTTAAACCACTGAGAGATTACAGACATGCCTGTTGTGGAGTGTTTCCAGTAATTAATAATACCATCTGCATAGCTTTGGCGTTGAACATTTTATAACTCTTAAAAATCTTTTATATACAAGCAAAAACAATGGTCCTAAAATACGACCTTGTGGAACTCTCATTTTGCAAATTTCAAATGTTGGTTTTGTCCCTTTACCTTGGACACATTGTTCTTTATTTCTAAATTATAGAGGGAAATGGTGGGAAACAATTTGCAAAACTCATACATTTTTAAGTTCTGTAGAAGCATCTTAGGAATCACAGTACCGAAAGGCTTTTTCTGGGTCAAAACACATTGCTATGGTTACTTTTTCTGCCATCTAAAGTTATGGCAAAACAAAAGATTTCCATCAGCTGGAAAACCTAGTTATCGAGATTAAAGTAATATTTTAACATGATGGGGATAAATTCAACAACAGGAACATAAAGTACAGCAGAATAGCTTCTCAAAATTCAGCACAAGTATCAGAAGAGGCAGCTCATTTAGGAGGAGAAACTTGTTGAAAAAGCTTTTAGGATGACAGAGTGACAGTTTGTGTGAGTGATCTCTTTCCTGACAGAACGGTTTAAGGCAAAAAGCCTTTTATGTATTGATTTGGCAGAAATAAATGTCTAAGCCATAACATAAAAAAATGTCAAGAAGAGAATCTCAAAAGTACATTTTTCTACACCATTTACTTGGTGAAAAAAACTTAAAACTAAATCTAGTTTAAAGGTTAAAATTTAGAGTTGGGAGTGTTAAACTGGTTATGGATCCAACAGTCAGACCCATAAGTTGTTCAAATAAATGTGCGATGTTAATGAGCCAGTGTAGGGGTGGGGGTAAGAAAACGCTGTATGTGCTGTGAAAACTTCAAGTAGTACAACTCACCCGTGCACACAGTCGGTGAGCACAGGCTTGGTGGGGAAAACTAAACAAGTCGGTGCTGAGATGCAGTGAAAGGATCCCTGTGTTCTCCCAAAATTCCAATAGCTACGTTTAAAACAAAACATTATTCCAGCTGCAACTTTGCAATTGTCCTCCTGTGACCCCCGCTTTAATTGCATGTTAAACTCATTTCTGACAAAGCTGGCTGTGTTTGGTTTAATCAACGACTGTCTTCAGGTAGTAACGGCATTAAAGCACAGAATATTAAAGGCTCAGATAACTCGCCTGTTCATACAAATAAAGAAAATATTTTCTCTGAATGTTTCCACAAAAATGTATCAAATAAGATAAAGTTCTGTTTGTAGAAAAAGTTGTTACATTTGTTTGAAACCAAGGATTGTGGTAAACCGTGTGCTTCTGGTGTACCTGCTTCAGTCTGCCCAAGGCTGATGCTTCAGTCAGACTTGTCACCTGCAAAGTGGGTGAAGAGTTAATCCTTTCCTCTTAAAAACTGTCTTTTAGAAGGACACAACACTCAGAAAAAGCTTCAGCGATGAACTATCAATCAGGACTGAGGAGTGCCAGGATAAGAGCAGCATCCTGTAAAGTGGTCAGACTACTTTAGATGAGTGTTGCAATTAAGTGTTGTGGAGGGGCTTTAACAGGCGAGGTGTGTTTGATTTGGTGAAGAGTGAGACTCTTATTTTTAACTGTAAAGTCTGTGCCCCTGACATCCCCGAAACGGATTTATATCTTTGAGTTTAAAATAACCGTCCTTAATCACATAATGATTGGCTCTAAAGGGCTATCCCTTTGTTTCTTCCAGGAGCCTCGCTGAAAGTGTGCCCACAGGGTTTCTCCTGCTGCACCGTGGAGCTGGAAGAGAAGCTGAGCCAGCAGAGCCAAACGGAGATCAAAGCCCCCGTGTCCAAGCTTAGCACCAGCCTACAATCCACCTTCAAACAGAGGCACGACCACTTCGACAGTAAGCAAACACACTTACACAAACACTCTCACCAGCGCGAGTTTTCCTACGACACTGCGCTACCGTTTCTACAGCAGAGCGTGTGTTTTTGACGGATGCCCCCACCTGCCGCTGCACTGTTCAGAGCGGAGACAGTCAGTCTGTGTCTGCTGGCCTGTCCACCTGTCTCTCAGCGTCTCAGCTCCCTGCCGTATCGTGCCCCCTGCCACACCAGCTTCCCTCCTCTCCGGAGAGATGATGCATGCCTCCAGACAGACCACACACATCTTCAGATTTTTGTCTTCTCTGTACTTCCTGTTCCGCTGTGTGTGTGTGTGTGTGTGTGTGTGTGTGTGTGAGCACATGTGTGCACGCCTGTAAATATGGGATCAGGTTTCCCCTCGCTGACGACCGGAGCGCATGGGAACGTGCAGCAGTGCTGACTCACAGAGGGAGAGGGGCAGCTTTGAATACCCCACACC